ATAGGGTTTCCACGCGTAGAAAAAACGAAAAAACTCTTCAGTTTTGACTTCAATGTGGAATCAAATGAATGTTTTTTGAGATTGTAACCATGACGAGGTGGCTAAACTCGAGCCCCAAATTTAGGAATCTTAGGAAAAAAACGATTTTTGTTTAAATCATTGCTCCCTCTACTACCCTAGATCTACCTTGGATCTACCTTAGATCTACTTTAGATCTACCCCATATCTAACCCTATATCTACCCCAGATCTACCCTGGATCTACCCTGGTAGAATACAGACTCGTTCCCAGGGATATTAGAGGGGGCGAGGAAGAGAAAGATCTTAAGGCAATAAGCTAGTTCATGAGCGATAAGGAATCATGATGGAAGCTGCTTGGGAAACTATAATGCAACATAATTCTAAATTTTGATAGTAGGGCGGGCTCTTCTTTCAGTGAGACCTTTGATTTGAATTTTGACAATAATGCAGATAAAGCCTAATTTGGCGGTGCTAAACAGGTTTATCGTAGAATGCAATGTAAGGGAGGCCCCCTCCGATAACGACTTCAATCCGGTAGAAAAGTCTAGAAATGGAATGGTTATTTATCGGAAATTATCATCTCATTTATTATGGCAAAATTTGGGATAAGCACGTCTCTCAAAGTTTCTGCTTTAGTTTTCTCCTGTCAGGAGAAATTTACCCTGTACTTCCTAATAACTATTTACCTCCTCGTCAAACAAACCAGGAAAAACAGCTCAACGTTTATCACCTGCCCCCCGCTTTACAATGCATAGACTGATATATATTATAATTTTCTCCTCGTCAAACAAATCAAGAAAACTGTACTGAATAAGACACTTCCCTTTTTACAATCCGTTTACTGATACCCCTGATTTCAATACTAAGTAAGACATTGATGGACAGACAGATCTTAAGATAACAGTTAAAAGGAAGCAGTTGAATATTAATGCGGCCTACATTGTCTTTTGAGCTGATAAATACTCGCTGTTTCTTTTACCGATTTCATACAAGGTGTTAATTCATCCCAAAGTTGTGTTAATTGTGATTTAGAAACAGATATTCAAGATCTCATGAATTCCGCTTGTAAAATCATCGACGCTTTGCTAAAAACCTTGTGAGACCTTCAGTGTTCGAGGTTCTTTCAAGTAAATTCTTTTCATAATTCAACCAAATACAAGGGGTTCATACGTGCGCGAAAGTTTGCACTCATTTTTCTTAAATTCATTAGATAAAGAAGTTATCATTCGCCTGTTTTTATGATAATTATACTGTTTAGAAACTTTCAACGAGGATACAGGTTCATAAGAAGAGCTGAGCTCTTACGTGATACACAGTTTCAACGGATTGTTGAGATTCCGACTGAAATAGATCTGTGCAAACAAAACAGACAGCTCTTATGTAAAGAACTTCCAGTATAAATAACTCCTAATAAAATTGAAAATATTCTTACAAAAGAAAATTGATATTATTCTGGAAAAGAAGTATGTTTCTCCAGCTGCTCAGTTTGTAGGTAACGAAGGCGCTGCATTAGACGCCGAATATTTTCTAATAATTCTTACACTTTTTCCGACGGTCTAATTTTTTTATTTTTTAGTTTTAGCAGTAGCCTTTCCACGGCCAAAATTTCTTTTCACAATGAGGCTTAATTTTAGAATTGTTTGTTTCTGATGTGATAGTGAATGGTATTTTTTTTTCTCATTCATCTTACAATATTATCTAATACAACTTTACACGTTTATTGTACAAACAATGTTTGAAAGGTTGTCAGCAAAGAAACACACGTTACACAAATGTGTTATAGCTGTTTGTTGTTGTCCCAGAACGTTTTATTCAACTCTTCCATACTGAAGCTTTGCACAGCTGTGGAATTCTCAGAATAGCATGAATAGAGGAATTTATTTTCTTTCTCGTGCAAGCGCAAACATCATTAAGTCTTCAAAACGTGATACACTGCATGTGAAAAAGGTCAAGAGCATGATAAGAGATGTTATAAATTAGTTTTGAGGGCGTTGATCCCAATACCTTCCGAAACTTTACACGGTGCGGGTATTAGAAGCGGGAACCAGTCTACACTTAACTCGGAGCCGTAAGTAAAACACTTGAATGCTCATTTCAGATACTGCTCCCAAGTTTATTTTTCCTCTTCAACGTCATTTTCAGTATTGAAAATTGGAAGATAAATACTAGAAAAGAATTACCACCTTCGTAGTCGATGGGAAGAGTCGTTTAAAATTGCTTAAATTTCCCTCTGGTTGATAGCTTATGATTTTATAATCGAGTAAAATTGAAAGAATTGATTTCGGCAAAGACCTAAAAATCATTCCAATCATCATAATCAGCATAAAATTTAAGCTAGCCTAGCTAGGGTTTTTAAAATAAATTAATCATTCAAATGCAGGGTTCTCCCTTCATACCTGCAGTGAACCGAGTAAGTCCCTAGAGACTTCATTATGATTTCTCACTGACTGAAAACCAAGAGACGAGAGATCACAAAGGTTCCCGCCTAGTTTCCTGTGACTTTGTTTCAGGTTCAGTTTGGAGGGGGGAAACGTAGTAACTAAACTTCAGTTTCATTGGCGGTATCGGCAAGGCAACATGGCTGAAACTCTTCTTTTAATTGGACTTCTATCATTTTCTTCCTTAATGTAGGGTGATCTAGAGTCGTTTGACTAAATATCATTCTTTTTTTTTTGTTGACTGAAGTCGAAACTCAGCCAAACATTTCTTTTTATTCAACGCTTGTATCGCACGTTTCACGAAAATTGAATGAAATATCATGACAACGTCAAAATCTGTTTCTATGACAACAAGAACAGAGTTAAAATAACGCCAATTTTGACATTTTTCTCATTAAAAACTGATTTTGGCTTTCATGCAGGTCATGAAGACCATTTTTATTTGGGGCTGCTTCATGGCTGTTCTCATCGAGCCTTGCAAATCGGACATGTACATGCATGCTCCGCCGGGATCCAACAATCGCTTGAACGGTAACCAAGATAACGTCAGAAATGCAAACAGATTGTTTGATTCACAGGTAGAGTACCATTGTATACTGCATATTGTATATTGTTTCTATCGATCCTTCGCTTAAGACATTTCCATAAAATGTGTGGTGCCCTATTGCTATCCCTCTCTTGAGATGATGGACGATCGGTCGGTCTATCCGCCAATAAGGAAAATCCTGGCTGAATGCCCCCGATCGGTTGCTAATTGTTTTCCTAACCCGAGCGCCTTCCGGTGTCATATTCAGGCTTGAAAATTTATTGAAAATTTATTGAAAATATTCAGGCTTGAAAATTTTTGAGTAAAGTCTTCATCATTTGATTTAAAACAGGATAAAATTGAGAAAGTAAAAAAAATACAGAAAGCGTATCTTACTCCTTTTTTTCTCTTTGCCTCTTTTCTAAAATTGAGTCGGTTGGTACATGGGAAACGCACATTGTTATGTTTATAGCATATTTGAAATGAAAGGAAGTACGGGAGGGGAGGTTGGGAAGAAACAACCTCTAGCTGAGATCTCCACCACCCTGCCGGTACTTTTGACACCAAAGTGAAGGGAGAGCCAACAAAACAAGGCAAACAAAGTCTTATTGATATTTAGATAGAAAAATGACCAATGATGCTATTGCTACAGCTGCTGATACGAGAGAGCCGGAGAAACAGGACAAAGGCCAGTCCAGAAGAAGTATTTTCATAACATCGAGGATAGACTGTAACATTTTTCTGTAGTGTTTGTCAGAAATCCTCAGTTAAATGAGATTAAATTAGAGAAGCAGACAAGACTATGCCGCAACACCTTGGTGATCAAAGAGAGAAATCAGAATGGCTCAATGAGGTTTTACGGACGTTTTCACCTCGTGGCTATTTAAATTGAGGTCATCCCAGTCTAATCACAGTTGAACCGCACAATAATGAAGGACGAAAGTAATTCACCTCAATAAATGATTCTTTCGTCTTCTTTCTAAGAATAACGGTAAGGCTGGTTACAATGTCGGAGACAGTTTGGACAATAACCCCGGTGACAACATTCGAGAGTTCAGACAGCTGCCACAGGTAAAACTCGTTTATCAATTGTTAGCCGGTTGTCTCTTTGTTTGCTTCCTTGCTTTCTCTGTTTTCTTGTGCTTGATATTTTCTTTTAATGATCCAATATCATTTTTATCAGGAATATTACATGAGTGGATGTGATGCTAAGGCAAAAACCGAAGTCGATATCATGTGGACAAATCAGCATGGAACTGGACCAGACACTAATGACACGGTAGAAACTCAAGTTATTCTACAATACATGTGTCAGCCTTATCCCGAGGGCAAGATGGCAACCAACGACGTGAACAAAGAGTTTGAATATCATACAATTCGTAATGGGCAGACTCTTAGCACTCAATCATTTGCAAAAAACGCAAGAGAGAATGCTTACATAAGAAGAGACAGAGGTCTTCACGAACCAGCTAACTATTATCAGGCGTATTACCGAAGAGAGAGAAACAAAGGTAAGAGGTTTAAACAAACTGAAATACTTAACTGTCGATTTTTACAAAAATGAATCTCAGTGAATCACTCTCTTTACAGTTATGACACTATTACTCATGCTTCAGGCCTGTTCACCGCTGACCAACAACTTAAAGGTAATCTGCCGATTTATACGCGACAGAATGCCGCAGGGACAAGGAGGGGCTTGGAGGTTCCCGAGGAACGCGATTACTATCCTTACTGGGGCCCTACTCCTTGGAAGGACATTGCGATCATGGTCAGCGATAAAAAGACCGAGCAACTCATGAAAGAATACGTAAACAGCCCTCACTATGGACACAAATGTAAGCCAGCTGTGATCTGAAGGGTTTTATAAGTACAGTACAGCACGGTACAGCGTAGACTGCCTTTCATTGTTATTAAATGGTAAAGGAGCAAACACTTTAAAAATTATGATTTTCCCTAAATTTCATGTTTTAGACTTGTGTATAATGCCCACCAAGCTTTCCGGAAATGATGACTGTCCACCGGACAACGCGAACGTTAAAGGAGAAAAATGTGTTGCAAAGTACATCACCTCAGAGACATGCAAGGCGGCTGGAGGGACCTGGACAAAATTTATCACGAATTATGTTGAAAAAACTGCTGGTGTGTTGAGCACTTGTCATAATGTGGGCGAAATGAAACTGGCAAGAGGCATTCCTTACGAACCACACAAGATCTCTCAAGGAGCCGATCAGAAGGTGCAATTTGTTCTTGTTCACAAGCCTCCTGAAGTGATCTACGCCCCATCAACTGTCGTTAATCATAACGGAATGAACATGGAAGGAAAGTTTTCGTCCTACAAGTGGAAGGTTCCTTGCTTTCCAACAAACACCACCCAACGCTGCGTGATACGAATCAGGTGAGAAAACTAATCATCGATCCTTTAATTTTGGGCGTGCGATGAAAGAAAAGGCGATGCATATGGGGCTTTGAAAACAAGAAGTAGGAGTTTGAATATCACTAGGTTTCGTTTTTATAAATTTTCATCTCTTCACATGAGAAAGGAATAAAGGGTCGCAAATTAAAGAACGCAAGACCCCTTCATGTGACCCATTTTGTCCTTGTGATTTTTCAGTGCCAATCTTCTTGAATCATATTAAAACAGTAACGGCTGATCCCCAGATCTAGGAAGGTAGTAAGAGCTCCAAGGAAAATACAAATAACTGGATCCAAACCCTTTTCACCAAGTCCAGATAACATGTATAAAACCAAATACGCTTGTAAAAATTAATTGGTAACGCTGCCTGACAAGATATGTGGTTATGAAGCCTCCAAATGAACGAGTGACCATAATTATCATTTACTCCTGTCAAGAACATTATATCGACTAGTGCTCAAACATGTTTGTACCTAACTCTAAACGTAGTTCAGGTTTCAAAGCAATTCTAAAGCTTAAGTGACACCAATTTTTTTTCTTGGCAGGTACAATATAACCACAAGCGATGTGCCCCGGGAGTTTACTGCTAAGAACAATAACGAGTAAGTATTTCACTTCTGACCTCTAATGGTAACTAGGTTTTGATTTCTCTTTACAATATCACCTCTGAATCAAACGTACAGTCCACGAGAATAAAGGAAATGATCACCAACAAAAGAAGCTCTTGACTGATAAACAAATTCTTCTTGTCAGTGACTACGTTAGGAAATGTGTGGTGAACAGTTTATGGAGAATGTGCATACCGAGGTTGGGGTGAAAAGGGCTTATGACTACTTTACCAAGTCATTCCATTTTCCCCATAGTAGAATGATCACCTGAATTAAGGACAGAGATGAATGTGAAATTTTTAAATTTCCTTAATGTTTCAAAACCCGACCGTGTAATAACATTGTTATTACGCGTTCCCACCATGTTCCCATGTTCCCACCAATAACGTAGCTCCATTTTGTGACTTTAAAAGTGCACATAACCCACTATTCCTCTATTCGCTCCGACGAAGGGCTAACGCTCGAAACGTCAGCTTTTATAATCGTAACGGTGGCCAATTTACCATTTCAACTTTGTTGATATATATTCAAATTATTTCGTTACCCCCACCGACGCAGCCCCAAACAGTTTCTTTAGAAACTATCAGCCTTTATTCACGTGTAATAACATTGTTTACTCTCTATGATCAACAAAATAAGGCTCGAGGTTTTTTCCTGTTTACAACAATTAGACATTGCTACAGTAATCTTGAATATACGAGCGTTCAGTTTGTAGTTTGATCTGATGGTTTCACAGTAGTAGTAGTCAACTTTATTTAAAGAGGGTGTATACATAACAGCTTACGCTGACAAACCAGTAGCCCTCAAAACTAAGGATTAGTAAGTAATACATGCAAGTCTAGAATTGAAATTGGAACTAGCCTAACAAAGTAACTATTAAAAACAAATAGAAATAGAATATATAGAATAAAACATATATTATAATATAGCCTCAAAAGAATCAATGTCTCTGTAAGAATCATCAAGATAATTTCTCAAATCATTTCTGAAAGAGGAAGTGCTGCGTTTTTTCTTAAGCTCATTTGGCAAACTGTTCCATAACTTGACGCTACTAATTTGAAAAGACCTTCCAGCTTCAGTAATATTACGAAACTTAGGACAGATTAAATCATATTGGCCATGTTTGGTCTCTCTGCCGTGTAGTGAGTAATTCGTAGTTAAAGAACTCTCAATTTACATTGGGGTTTCCCCACGCAGCGCCTTATAAACTAATACGCACTTTCTTATCTTAACTTCATCATAGAATGGGATCCAATTTAGTTTTTTAAAATTTTCCACTGTTCTTGATCTGATACCTGCGCCAAATATTACTCGCGCTGCACGTTTCTGCAACCGAAACACTCTCTTGAGATCCTCATTAGAACAATATATAAGTCCAAACTAAACTACCATACATCATGACCGGCTTAATAAGGGCATTATAAAAAAGTTGTCTTTCGTCGATTGGTAAATAGGTACGCATCTTTTTCAGAAGACCATTTTTTTGCCTAAGCTTCTTACAAAGTTTATCTACATGCTCCTTAAAAGTTAGTTCTTGATCAATTGTAACCCCAAGCAGTTTCTGATGTACAACTTTCTCGATAGCTGTTCCATCGACATGAAATCCCGCAAGACGAGTGAAAAAAAAAAACGAATGGAAAGGAAGTATGAAACACTGGGATTTGATTCAAACTAGAATAGACCTCGGCAAAATTACACTCTGACGGACAGATCTAAATGGACAGAAAGACCAACGCAGGAAAATAGCGTTCACAGATCGTTTATTCTTTTCTTCACAGGATTAAAAATAATCCGAAAACAAAAGCTACTGACAATAAGACCGAACTTCAAATCGCTTTGAACACTGCTCAGCTGGGCAGGACATTCCAGGATAGAAGTCATGTGATGATCCTTAAACCACGCAGCACACTGCCTGTGAAATTTCAGCACAGCAATATCTATTACATTAATGGAATGGGCAAGAGAGGAAACATTGTGCAGGCGTATCCAGCCATGGAATATCGCTTTTACCCTGAACGCCTCACTGTCACAACAGATGATGTGGTGTGTTTCGTCTGGTCCGGTGAGAACGAACAATCCATTTGATAAGAACTCTTTTTTCCTGTTCATTTATTCATTCTTCTTTTTCCATTTTCGATTTCGTTGTTTCATTATGTGTCTAATTGTTTACCTATCGATTGCTTCTATCTTTAGGCTCAAACAACAATCAGAACAATGCAGGAGAAGGAACAGCACGTAAGAAACATATCGGTCATTTGAACTAATTAGGCACTGAATTACAATACAATACAAACTTTATTTACACTCCCTAAAGTGGGTTTTTCGGTGGCAATGATCTAAAAACTACAAAATTACAATACTAAAATGTACAATAGAAAAATTAAGGAAGCTAAAATGTTTATCAATGTTCGCCAAAGTTACAACTAAGAGCGATGGGAAAGGAAAGCAGCAAGTAATTTGGCTCTAAGTTTACGCTTAAAATCACAAGAAGAATTACAGAGTGTGAGGGTATTATCTAAACTGTTCCATAGACTGACTGTACGATAAAAGAAAGTCCTTTGTCCAGATTTAGTTCTATATAAGGGTATATGCAGAAGTTGGGAGCTTCTGGTCGTGCGACCACTTATCTCGCCACGTGTTAGAAACTTCGAGGAGAGATAAGTAGGGCCGGAACCGGTCGTACATTTAAAAGCAAGTACGGCGTCACGGAGATATAGCTGAGAATTAATAGGTAGTCAGTGCAGTTCTCTCAGAAGCGGAGTCACGTGGTCAAATTTTCTGAGACCACAGATAATCCGGGCTGCAAAATTCTGGACCGCTTGGAGCTTGAGGAGGTTAGTGTCTGCTGCATTGGACCAGACGGAGGAAAAATAAAATAACTTACTAAATACTTAAGTGTTAATTATTATCAATAAGGTCGATCTGTCAAACACGTGCTTAACACGATTAATTTGAGCTAAACTTGAGAAGCAAGAGAAAACTGTTTTAACAATATGCTCGTGAAAAGTAAGGCTCGAGTCAAAAGTCACGCCTAGGTCTTTAACGACGTGCACCGGTATTAGTTCCTTTCCTAAGAGGGAGAGACGAATAACCGGGATATTATTTAAAATTTGTCGACTTCCATAAATAATAAGCTTAGTTTTATCAGAATTGACTTAAAATGCTCAAACTTGAATACTTTCGATGACTGATTGATGTAGCCACTGATGAGCAAACAACAGCCGACTGGGTATACTTAATCTGATGAGTATACCTTCAATTAAATCCTTTTTCATATCAGGTACTGATCGCACCAACGTGTGCTGGGTAAAGGAAGGATGCCAATCTCTTAAGCCAGCATCGTGTTCTAGCTTGCCTCTTGAAGTAGTTGACCATGTTGACAAATTCGATGCCGCAAAGTTAAATCTTCACCTGAACAAGGGCTGTTATACTGGTGACAAACCACTGCAGGCTCAACTGAACAACGCCCCAGCCTCCTGTAACCCACCGTGCTTCCGCATCACGAAGCCTGGGACATACTGTTACATGGGCACGCGCAATAACAACTTCTCCAACCGCCGTCACGTGGGACAGATTACTGTTACTGGGATACTCCGGCAAAATGATTGAACTGTGTTATTTACGCGCTAAATCCGCTCATTTCCTGATTGTGTTTAGGTAGTTTACACTGTAATACACTGGGATGTTGGAAGAATAAAACAAGGGAATAGATTTCTGCTTTTTGTACATTACAAATTCATACTGAGCTGACTAACCTACTGACTACGGCTATCTGTAAACTAACCGACCTAGTTAAATACAAAAACTTTGAAAGATAGGGTTACCCCAGTCAATCTCGAAGCGAACCACATGTTAGTGCAGTCAGGCAACCCAGGTTCGTATAAAGTGAAAATTATAGGATTCTTTGCGGTTTTCCAACCTGGGCTACAGATCAACCTGGGCTCGTGAAATGAGGCCCTTAGTTGCACAGCTTTAAAGCGAGTGAATTGATGGATTCTGAGAATAATTTTGTTCAAAGGTCGCGGTAGGGGAATTGTTAGCAATTTTCAGGTTCCTTTGACACTTGTCAGTCCAACATTTGGTAGAATCAATTCATGCGGGAATTATTATACGTAAGAAAAACTTTCCTTGCACCGCACGCAAGCGGTGCTGTAATGTAAGAGTCGTCAAGTCTGTGACGGTATTCAAACATAAGAAACAACTGATGAGAGTGAGAGTGGGATGCAATACTTTTTACTTAGTTTTCGGTCTCGTTCTTCTCATGCTTGAATCAAGAAATTCAATTGCTAAATTCAACCATGAATCAGACTGCCCAAAATCAATGAGACCCGTTTTTGAAGTTTAATTTTATGAGCACCGTTTAAATTGACGTTTATAAAAGATAGTGTGCTGATAACCAAAACATGCATAAAATTAATAGTGGCTTTTGTATCAAACAAATTGAAAAAAAGAGTGATCGATCTACCTTGCGCTGTTCGCCTCTTGGTTATCTCGGAGCTGTTCAGGCAAATTTCTAGATTTTGGGCTGTAGCCTTTTAAGTACATGCATTTACGAATAAAGCTAAGCCCAGTTGTTTACCACTCTTTTTTCATATACTTTTAATTATACTTGGAGTTGTGAGAATCGAGTCAGCGAAGGTTTCATTTTTTCTTAGGCTTTTTCCTCAGCATTGTGATGCGAGGTTTCTTATTGTAACCAGTCTTCCGCGTTCATATTTTCAGACCACGTGTAGGAAAGATGTCACGTGCTTCCGATACGGTCGTCTGCTTTTGACGGGTTTTCTTTATCTCTACCAGAAAACAATACAGTGAATAATTCAGTGATAAGGTGTGACAACAGATGACTTCAAAGCAGGTAACGTATTTTGGCTGTTCTCGGACAATAAGCGGTCTTGAGAAACATGATATGGGACGACGAGTGACGCAACCTGAAATGACCACGACGGGCAGAACCAAATAAATCGCCGTGATTCAAGCGATTTTTACCGGCTAAACTGATAATCTGAAGCAATGAATGCTTTCTTTGGATTTGTTGATTTTTAAAAGGTAAGATAGCATACGATCTAATTCAAACTTGTGGCAATATATTACTGACTGGCGACCAAACCATTGCTAACAAACTGATCTAATAATGTTACTAAAAAAATACTGTTCGAGAAAATAGCAAATTTTTAATCATTGCAGATGTCGAAAGCTACGAGATAGGAAGTTTATTCTGAAATTTGTATAAATAATCGTAGTTAGATCAGGATCGCTGGAGATTTATTTTTAGAAAGCTGTTTCATTGGATATAGAACTATATTTACGATTTTACATGCTCGTGATTTGATGATGCGTTTGCATGGTCACAGCGCTCACATTTCTTGAAAAAAAATCGCAGAAGCTTATCTTTGAAACGGGTTTATGGCCATTTGTTGGGATTTGAGTTAGATTTGAGAGGTAGAACAGAACTGTTGAGTAAGTTTATCGTCAGGAACATCGACAACACGAGGGAGTTGTGTTCAACTTTTTTTCCTTTTGACTTCTTTGAACCTTGTTAAAATACCTTGCTTACTATAAAAAAGAAATTCGCTGAAAGCCTCGAACAAAAACCGAATTGCAAAGATTACACTGCCAGCTCATGTTGGGTTATTTCAAATTACGTTTGTATTTTTTTACGTTTCAACCAGCTACCACGAGGTTTCCTAGAAACAAAGCGGGTAACGATGAATGGTAAAGACACTGGGTTTTCTAGTATCTCCACTTGCAAATTAGCCTAAACACTGAATAGGGTAAATAATGCCTTTGGATCGGACATGTCTTTAGAAACGGACATTTCCCCAATTATTTCTGATGGAATTTTTGAGGCTCACAGCTGCTTTGTACTCGAAATAAAGTCACACCTCCCATTCTTTCCTTCGATTAGTTCAAAATGTAATTATTCACTGATGAAACTGTGATCTACAGGAACGAAAAACCCACTAGAATTTGCCTCGCACCAACATATGGTTTCATAGCTGTAATAACATGAGAGACAACCAGGATAAGAAAATTGAAACGTTTACGCAGACAAAAATCTACATGTTAACTTACTACGAATATTTAAGTAGTTGACCTACAGGTCCCTAGTGGACGCACATGCTGCAAGGTAGTGCATCTTAGTATTTCAATAGCTAAGTTGGTAGTAACACCTAACAAGTAACTTGGAGGCCTGATTTTTTTTAGCCGGATTCTTTACTACAACTGCTTGACTTGCAGCTCACCTGCGATCATCATTGGAAATATTTTCAAATAATTCACACAATTCTACGACATAGCCGTAGTCCTAAAGGCAATCTATCGTTCTCACCAGCTAGAAAATTGTTTCGGTATGCGAGAACTGTTGGGGCCGTGCGGAAATCTTGTCATTTGCATACACTTCCTAAACAATATCCACCAGCCAAAGAATATTCTGGGGTTTAGCATTTTCAAAGCGGGAAGGTACGAGAAATAATCGAAACTGAGCAGCATTCACGGTTGGGTACCTTTCTCTGGAGCCAAATAGGGGGTGGAGACATCAAGTTAAAAGGGGTGAAGCAAATTATGATGTAAGTGTCCTTGACAACCCATCGTAACTACTAAGTTTAAGTGTGTAGGCGATTGCACTTGGTTATCAATTTCCTACGAACTCTCTGTTTGGAAGACATTACAGATCAAAGCTTTGATCCACCTGTCATCTCAAAGGAGCACAAATAAATAACGGAGCTTCGTAGGGACTGATACTTCTACCTGAGTCAGAATTGCAATTGTTCTAAAAACAATGGAAAAAAACAAACACTGTTGGAATTTCTTAGCAATAAGCTCCTTTTATTGTATGCTCCTCGTCTAATATTTTTCATGATGTGATATCACGTCTCGTAAACTGTCTCGAGATTGATTACCCATATATAAACATTTATGAACGCATCATGCGTTGTGTAACTCCTTACGTATAGGTCTCGGCGCATGGAGGATTAAAATAGACAATGTGTAGGAAATGAAATGTCGTCGATTTGCATTTTAAACATGAGATGAATAAAACTTACTCATCTCTTAAGTGTCCCTTGGGCCTTTTGATATCCCTTGGCGTTCCTGAGGGAGTCCAGTTTTCTTTCTTACAGTTTAGCGTTCATCATTCAGCTAAGCCAATCCTTAAATCTACATATTGATATGCACCAAAGAAAATTTTGACTGAGGCAACTTTATATTGTTTTGCTTTTTCAAGTTTTGTCTACTTTCTCTCCAAATTGTAAACATACGAGACTCCTTATCAAACATTTGAAACGGCTGCAAAGGCAAGTTTTATAACCGTGAAAAACTTCTTCCTCTGAGGATTTATATTTTTCCAGAACTGGTATGTAATAAGAGGCTAAGTTGATTTTCTTTAAGAAGAAATCCGCAGAAAATATTTTCCACCGCGGATGAAATAATAACTCTGTTCTCGACTGTTCGTTTAAAAAAACAATTTGAGAGTTCGGTTAAAAAAACAATTTCAGATATGATAATTTAAAAGCTAACGGTTTATTGTGATTAAATGCAAACTCCATGAGATACTAATCTCTACCATGTAGTACTAAATAGAGTTTTATATCTAGAATACTTTTTTTTTCAATTTGACGTTTAATGATTGCAGACAGCTTTTATGATTTTTCAAATCATACACACCAGATGGTGTCTCGCCACCGCACAATGAATATCGTGTCCACGTACAACTTTGCCCTTCTCTTCTCCGTCTCCGTGAAAACAAACTTTTTCCAATTTTTTCAGGATGACATTTTAAAGCTAATGAAGTAATCGAGCTACGAGGTAGTTCAGAGTTTTGATAATCGACGTGAAAAGGAGATAAAATGGAATCGAAAAAAGAATGGAGCCGACCTGACGAAAAGATCATTGCTTTCTACGTCGCTCAAGAAGCCGCTGTTGAGAAGAGAAGCGAGGTTAGTCAAGCTCTGGTTACTTTCGTTAGCGCGGGTGTGATGTTGGTAAAGAACTTTGCTACTCGTAGCCGTCTTTTGAGGTTTTTCGTCAGAGGTCGTCACGCAACACAGTCAACTCGGTCGGCGTGGCTTGACAAAGTCAACACGACAGTTGAGAATTAAACCATAACGGATAAAATTGTTTAAAAATGTAACCTGGGAAATATTGCAACCGAGATTGCACATTCTTTAATCAACTGATTTGACGAATAAAAAAGTACGCTGGGAGAAAAATATTTTGGAAAATACTTTTATTATTGGTTAAGGAAGGCGCCCTTGCCTGGATGTTTGACTGCAAGCGAATTTGGATCGTAGTTTTCGTGTTAGCACCCTGGCTGGGCTACTTAGTGTTGTTAATTAGCAAGATATTTACTCTCACAATGCTCAGGAAAAAAATCGGTCTGACAGACCATCGGGGAAACCCGACGCGAAAATACGGGTTAACTGGGATGGACTAATTTGCCAAGGGCCGGGAAGGAGCAACATTACTGGTCACTTTATACTTCGGACAAAAAGAAAAGTTGAGGAAAGAGGGACCACCAGGCGGTTAGATGATTTTAACTAGTTATGGCCACAGAAAGCATTACTCGGTAGGAAATGCCGTCAAGTTTATACTGCCTGAACATTGTTGCACAGCTGTTTTGGCTACTAAAGAGTGATGGGTGCCAATGTAGCCAATGTAGCCAATGTAGCCTTTCTAACAGAGGCTTTCGTTCCTTACCAACTGAGTGTCTTCAGTGATTCTGTTACTGTACAGACCCCATAGCAAAACGGAATCTATTTGTTTTATATGATAAAAAACAAACTGTTGTTAATGGTGACATCATCTGTGTCTGTCTTTCGATAGATCATAAATAAGAACCAATCACGCTCAAAATATGTGAATAATTTAGCTTATCGGATGAATGAAAAGCTGGACCTAATCTCAGTTTACTTTTCCTCACTAAACCAGACAAAGAAGACAATAGTGCTGTTCTCAATATTTTGGTTTATCGATTGAAGTTGTCTCAAAATCTCTCTAACTTCTGGTACCATCTTTAAGCGTGGCCACCCAAGTTGACAAAACACGGTCAAGGTTATTAAATTATCGCCGTGCGCCGGCATGGAATTTTACAAAATAATGGCGAAACTTCTTTAGAAACAGGAAGTAACAAGTTTTACTTCAAAACAACCTTATATCAAAAATGTAAAGGGACCAAGATAAACCCAAATGCAACAAATTGGTTTGTAAACCAGATCGGATGCAGAGGCCACTTAGTACACAAATTTACAGTAACCCTGAAACATTTATTTCTTTTATTTATCTATCCATTCATTTTGTTTTTTCATTTTTTTTTTTTCAGGGAAATAATGTTGTGCCTCTTATAAAGTTCTTTTCATTCCTTTGCGTATTTCTTGGTTTCGCTCTTCTTGTTCTCCGCATGGAATATCAACCTTCTTTTGCAAAGAACTGGTTCAACGAACCTGTAGAACAACCACTCGAGATGACACCTTTTGACTGGGAAATAGAAACAACAAAATCGACGGACTTTGCACGTGAAGGCGGCTCTGGTAAGCGATTTAACTTGTTCAGACTGAATTTAAGTAAACGATTTTTTTTTCTTTACCCTTGAGTAAGCCTCTTTGTCTTTGCCAACGATTATTCAAAAAAAGTTCTTTAATTATCGATCGATCTTACTTCTTATCGATCTTACTTTTCTTATTTGGTCGTTTGAATCCTAGTCCGATTCCCTAGAACGAATATTTA